CCCGGTATTTCTATCTCAGTCTATCTGCACTGCATCAGTGAGGAGGTCAGGGTCCTCCAAAGCCTCCGAGTGACTTCTTTCTGCCCTTCTCCCACCACTCCCCCCACCCCATCCCTTTCTGCCATCCAGTTCCTGGGCCACCTCACCTGGGTAACCTCCTCACTGAATCCCTCCAGCCGAGATGAGCTCCTGCAGCTGCTGGACACCGCCAGGGTAAGGCTCTGCAGAGGGGAGAGGCAGGGTCTGTCCCCTTCTCCCGCTCCCACCCAAGGCCCCGGGGGACTCAGGAGATCCGACCCACCACACAGCAGCTGAAGGAGCTGCCGCTGAAAACCACGGCGGAGCAGGACAGCATCCTGAGCCTATCGGCCCGCTGCCTGCTGCTCACCTGGCGCGACAACGAGGAGCTCATCCTGCGTATCCCCACGCACGAGATCGCCGCCGCCTCCTACCTGCAGGACGACGCGCTGCACTTGCTGGTGCTTAAGACAGGTACGGCGGGCGGAGCCTGCCCTGGCTGTGCTGCAATGGGGCCGGGAGGTGAAGGGGCAGAAAAGTCTCAACTCCTTGTTTGGGGGATGTGCGTGACCTGGGGCATGAGCAGGCCTGAGGCTGGATGACGGGGCGATGGAAAAGGCCTGACCACCCTATCCTGAGGCTAGGGTCCGGCCATGGCCATATGCCGTAAGACCCAGCCCAAGGCTGAGGTCGAGGAGTGGGCGGCCTGACCCACCATCCTGAGGTCAAGTGGTGAAGGCTGGAGAAGCCAGAATCCTGAGGTCCGGGAAGAGCGTGAAGTTAAAGGGCCTGGTGAAGGGGGGCGTAGCCACAGCGCTCAGAGGATAGGGCGAACCTCGGTGAGGGGAGGGGCCTGACCGAGGGGAGGAGTCTGGTCGAGGGGAGGAGTCTGGTCGAGGGGAGGAGTCTGATCGAGGGGAGGAGTCTGGTGGAGGGGAGGAGTCTGATCTAGGGGAGGGGTCTGATCGAGGGGAGGAGTCCGATCGTGGGGAGGAGTCTGGTGGAGGGGAGGAGTCTGATCGAGGGGAGGAGTCTGGTGGAGGGGAGGAGTCTGATTGAGGGGAGGGGTCTGATCGAGGGGAGGAGTCCAATCGTGGGGAGGAGTCTGGTGGAGGGGAGGAGTCTGATAGAGGGGAGGAGTCTGGTGGAGGGGCCGGACCAAACGCAGGGGGCGGAGTTCGAAGCTAAGGTAGCCAGTGGGAGAT